TGTGTGTATACAGATGTACGGAACAACGTGTTCATGTGATTCTGTCATGCTGTTCCTGATACATACGTGTACGTTTGATCATATACATTTGTAAATCTATATCTCTACATTTGATCATAGACACCTGTAGATCTATATCTCTCTCTATATATATGTGTGTATCGATCGAACAATCCTGCGGCTAACCACTGCTGCCCCCTGCCTTTTGGAAATGCCAGTGTTGGTCAAATGTTGGGCCGAAGTCTTGCCAAGGTATTGAACTACGTGTTCCCCAGCCGTTGCGGTCACCCTTGGGGGAGCATTTATGAGAGGACGAGTGAGCAGGAGGAGCGGGAGGAAGGAGGAGGACCAGAGTAAACCCAAGATGCATCAGCGATAATGCAACATACCCTCCCGTCCCAAGCCCATCCTCATGCCCCCCTGCAAGTTTTCCTTATCACTATAAGGAGCGCCCCCCTTGAAATACCATCGCAGTAAGGCCTGCCAGTGTGGCGAGGGCCTCGCTTGGACAAATAGTCGGCTCGCATACATCGGCGTTACAAAAGTTTCGTCATGAATCTCGATGTAATAACCTTGCGTTGGCAGGGCAGGATCCCGCCTGGTTGGATGTCTCAAATCGTATATTTTACGTAGAGCTTTTAGGATGCCCCACTTAAAATTAATCGTGCTATGGAATGGGAGGAAATCCCAGATTGAGAAATCCTGAATATTTGACCCGGCCGTTCTTGACCCAGCCCGCTAGGACTCCAAGGGGGTAATGGGGGCAGCTTGGCGCGGTCGGGACAGGGGTCAGCCTATTCGCCCGCCCGCTCGCGCGGAAGTAACGGACGAAATTTGCATCATCTTGACCGCCCCCATAAAACGTGACGAACTTCTGTAACGGCGTAGTATGTCTGGCACATCGTCAGGAACGCGGAGGCTTCGATCATACAGTTCGGCGCGGTGTCCAGCGAGATCCCCCTATCGAAGGAGGGCCTTGCAACGGCTGCTCAGGCTTCTACGTGTCATCATGGTGTTGATTTTGAAAAGAGCCGCCCCCTTTGTCCGTGCAGCGCTACATGCGTTGAAGTTTGGGGCGTGCAGAAGGCATGCGATCCCACGCGAGAGCCCCCATTGACACAGAGCAGCCGTCAATGCTGTTAAGAGTTGCGCGGGAAACGAAAGCGCACGGCTCTGAGGCGAGAGCCAAATTTTGAAAACGATCATTGCTCTATCCTTGAAACTGTTGCAGTCGATTGACCCAGATGCTCGCGGTGCCAAGGCGAGAGGCCCAATTTGAAAAGGAACCGCCCTCCATCCGTGACGCGACTGCAGAATGTTAACACGAGGGCACGCGGCGCCAAGGCAAGAGCTCCAGTTCAAAAGCGATCCGCCCTTCCATCCGTGAAACTGCTGAAAGTGTTTAAGATGCATGTGCGCGGTACTAAGCGACAGCGACATTTTGAAATTTGGCCACCTTCCACCTTTGTAGCTGCTTGCAAACGTGTAAGACGACTGTGCGCGGTGCTAAGGTGGAAGTTGCTGCAAACGCTCAAGTCGAACCCGCGCAACGCTAAGGCGAGAGCCGCGTTGTGAAAGGAAACGGCCATTCATCCCTGAAACTGTTGTTCTGTTCGGGGCGAACGTGCGCGGCGCCTAGCTGAGACCAGCATGTTGGAACCCACCCCCCTCCGCCATTGAACCTTTTGCAGCTTTTAAGAAGCGTATGCGCGGCGCTCATGCTCATGGCGGGAGTCTTCCGCCTCTGAGTGCTCGCCCTCCTCTATTTCCCCGCGGCCGCCCGTCGCTTCCTTTTGTCCCTCCTCCTGCATGCCGGCCAATTCGCTGTGTAGTGCCCTTGCATCGCTACCACGCTGGAGCGGATCGTCCTGCCGCGCTGCCGACGTTCAGAATGTGCGCGGCGCTCATGCGATAGCCACGTGTTTCACGTGTTTCAAACTTACCCACTCTCCTATTTGTAATATGGTGCGAACTTGTAAGCTTGCAAGACGACGGTGCTGAAGCGAGAGCCACATGTTGAAAAACAACCCGCCTTCCATCCGCGAAACTGTCGCAAAGTTCAAGCTTCATGATCACGGATGGTGAGGAAGTTCCCTACCTAGGATCTGCCTAGAAGGGTTCTTACTCTCTTAGCTTAAAGGGGCCGGGCAGTGGAACGCGCCCCGGGCGGTCCCCCCAGCATCCGCCCCGTGGTTCCCCCAGTGGCGTCCCCTTAGCTTAGCGTTGTTTATCTCATCTTAGCTTAGCTTATTTCAGCTTAGCTTAGCTTAGCTTAGCATAGCGCAGTGCTGGATTAGCATAGCCTAGCATAACATAGCCAATCAAAGCATAGCATAGCATAGCGCAGCATAGCATAGCATAGTATAACATAGCATATCATAGCATAACATAGCGCAGTTTAGCATAGCATAGCTTAGCATAGCTTAGCATAGCACTGCGCAGCATGACATAGCATAGCTTAGCATAGCATAGCTTAGCATAGCATAGCACAGCATAGCGCAGCATAGCATAGCATAGCATAGCGCAGCATAGCATGGCACAGCATAGCATAGCATAGCATAGCAATTAATGCTGCTTTCCTAGGGGGTCCAACTTCTAGGTAGGGTCGCAATGGGGTAATTTGGCAAAACAGGGGCAACGCCAGGTGGGATAGGCTCAGGGGGGGACGCAGCGAATTTCAATCGCTCATTGATCGCCGAAAAGGCAAGGCTCACCAGTCCAACCCGCCCAGAACTGTGCGGATTCGCTATGGGGGTCCTATCGCCGATCCATCGGCGAAGCATCGCCGACTCGAGCTCGATGTTCCCCCCACGAGCTGGTCCCTGCTGGCGTTGCTGGCCAGACACCCCTGCGTGGGCCGTGAAGCCTACAGTTGGACCGAGGTGTGAGAGTGAGGTCGACTCGGGGAAGGTACCCTAATGTTTTTCGTGTTTGTCGGATGCTCTTGTGCACCCTGCGGAGGGTAGCCTTGGATGTTCTGTCTGTTTTGACCGACGAAGGGGCTCATGTTCTTGAAGGATCTTCTTCGGGCCTGGGTACGACTAAAGGCCGCCTCGGCACCGACGAAAGAGCGCGTTCTGTGGTCGCTTGGAGGGGGAGGGGGGGCTGGAACCGGACCCCCACCCCCCTGGATGGAAGGGGGGGGGGGGGTTCGAACCCCCCCCTCCCCGCCTTTCCCCCCCCCCTCTTTCCTTCCCCTGCTTCCCCTCTCCTCAGGCCGGCGCTTGCGTCGGCGGCGGCTGGCGGCGGCGGCGGTGACGACGATTTCGTTTTCTGGGCCGGCGCCGGCAGCTGCGGCGGCGGGAGGCGGCGGCGGGGAGCGTCGACGAGGACGACGGTGGTGGTGGTGGTGGTGGTGGTGGTGGTGGTGGTGGTGGTGGTGGTGGGTTGTGGTGGTGGTGGTGGCGGTGTGGTGGTGGTGTGGTGGTTTGTTATGGTGGCGGTGGCGGTTGTGTGTTGTTGTTGTTGTTGTTGTTGTTGTTGTTGTTGTTTGGTTGTTGTTGGTGGTGGTGGTGGTGGTGGTGGTGGTGGTGGTGGTGGTGTGGTGGTGTTGTTGTTGTTGTTGTTGTGTTGTTGTTGTTGTTGTTGTGGTGGTGGTGGTGGGTGGTGGTTTGGTGGTGTGTGGTGGTGGTTTGTGGTGTGGTTGTGTGGTGGTGTGGTGGGGTGGTTGTGTTGGTTGGTGGTGGTGTGGTGGTGGTTTGTGGTGGTGGTGTTGGTGGTGGGTTGTGGTGGTGGTGGTGGTGGTGGTGGTGGTGGTGGTGGTTTGTTGTGGTGGCGGTGGGCTGTGCTGCTGGTAGTGGTCGGGGTTGTGGCGGTGGTGGTGGTGTGGTGGTAGATTGTGGTGGTGGTGGTAGTGGTGGTGGGTTTTTGTGGCGTCGGCGGAGGTGGTGATGGTGAGTTGTTGTCATGGTGGTGGTTGTGGTGGTGGTGGTGGTGGCTGTGGTGGTGGTGGTGGTGGTTGTGTGGTGGGTTGGTGGTGGTGGTGTTGGGTTGAGGCGGCGGTGGTGGTCGTAGTGGTGGTGGTGGTGATAGTGGTGGTAATCGTCGCTGCGTCCCCGCCGTTGCCGGCGCCAGCGCCAGCGCTGCTGCCGCCGCCCCAGCGCCAGCGCTAGTGGCGGGGGGGGTTCAAACCTCCCCCCACCCCCTGCGCTACGGGGGGGTGGAGGCTTGAACCCCTTCCCCTCCCTTGGGCTGCCTCTGGTCACCGTCGCTGCGTATCCGCCGTCGGCGCTGCTGGCGGCCGCCAGCGCCGGCGTCGGCGCTGGCGCCGAGGGGGGGGGGGTCGGCGGGGGGGGGGTTTGGGGGGGAGGGGAGTCCCCGTGGTTTTGATCGACGGTGCCGAGTGTTGGGGGTGGGTGGCCCCCCCTGGTTCGAAACGCGCCGCCGAATGTTCTCAAGGCAAGCGCCCGTGAAACACGTTCTCCGACGTATGCTCAGCGGGCACCGGCGCGCGGGGGTCCGCGTCGGACCCCCCCTCGGGGGCCCCAATTCGGTTTGGTGACCACACCGCGTGTTGAGTCACTGGGGATGCGGGGTCACCACTTGAGGGACGCCAAAAAACGGGGTCGCCTGCGCCGACGTTGGCGCGCAAGCTGCCCACATCAGGTCGCGCGTCAGCGCCCTCGTCTCCAATGTGGCGTGCTGCCCTCGCGGCCCGCGTGCGCCGCAGCGTAAGGTCGCCACGTCATCTCGCGTAATACCCTTTTTGGATCGTCGCTCACGTGGTGTTTGGACGACTTGAGTCGTTTTCCGAGGAGGTCTCGAGCGACTGGGGTCTCCGAGGTCCCAAGAACGTGCGGCCGAAGTCCGCGTGGTGAGGTCGTTGGGGGTTCCGAGGCCACCACGCGGCCCGTCACCACACGGTTCTGGGGCCACGAGCCCCCTTCTGTCGCATTTGAGGGCGCCGCGCTCTTCCAGGCCATGCGCAGCTCAGTGCCGCCCTGCCCCGCGTGCCATTTTTAGGCTCGAGGGATCCTCGAGCACAGGGCGGCTGGCGCCTGATGATGCTGCCACAGGTGGCGCGGACGACGCTGGCGGCAGGTGCCGACAGCAAGACGCGTACCGAGAGCAAGCAGAAGCTTACAGGTAGCAAGGGCAAGCTCTGGCAGCGGACCGTCACGTGCTCGTCGAAGGCATCATGCGTTAGCGGCGGGCCCCAGCAGGAGGCCAGCGCGTCCTCCGCAGGAGCAGCCCCAGCGCGCCTGATGACCCCCGTGGCCTCCTGCGTCGGGGTCGCTGGCATGCCGATGTCCCCGCCGTTGCGGGCCAGCGTGTGGTGGACCGACGACCCAGACGCCAGGCAGGACAAGCAGAGCTGCCTCAGCCTCTGGCAGGCGGAGCAGGAGGAGGCGGACGTCCAGGACATGCCCAGCCTCCCGCTCATCAGCCCGGCAGCGTCGGCCAGGCCCCAGGAGGCCGAGCAGGCCGTAGACGGCGAGGGCCAGCAGGGGGAGGAGCAGGAGCTCCTCGCGGCGGCCGCCGGCAAGTACCGCCTCGTGGGCGACGCGACCGTGGCGGAGCTGCAGGTGCTGCTCGAGTGGCCCGGGCGCGGGATGTACGGCGGCTCCTTGCCGAAGGTGCTGCAGGCTGTGCGGGTGGCGCCCGAAGACAAGGATCGCAGGCGATGTCTCGCCCCCCCCCCGACTTTGCACGAGAAGCCAAGCCGCTTAGAAAATGAGGGAATCTCCGGGATACACCCCAGGGTGGCTAATCGGACGCACCCCTCCCGAAGATGGACGCCCCCCTGTTCTGCATCCCCGAGCTGGGCCTCAAGTGCCTGGCCCCTTCGAAACAAAACCCACGCATCCTGGAGAGGGGTCGACGCATCCCCTGTCGCAGGAGCAGGTCAAGCTGCCGCCTGGCCTCCGGGGCGCCCGCCAGAGCATCGCCCGCCAGAGCATCGCCCGCCCGAGCATGGCCCTGGACAGGGCGGCCGTGGGGCGGATGGTCCCCGGCCTGCGGAGGCTGCCCTCCCCGCCAGAGGAGGCGGCGGCCACGAGCAGCTCCGGCCCGCGCTGGCACGAGGGCGCGGGCATGAGCAGCTCCGGCACGCGCTGGCACGAGGCGGGCGGCGCGCAGCTAAGAAGGGGGGTAGGCGGGGGGGGAGGCGTCTTAGAAGGAGAGGCTGCCTCTGCTCTTGGGAGGCGCCGGCCTTGCGCCTGCAGAGCTGGCCCGCGCCTGCTGAGAGGCAGGGGTGCTTCGAACGAGCCTCCCCCCCTCCCCCATTGGCCCCCTGCGCGCCGCCAGCGAGGGCACGGGGATGAGCAGCTCCGGCACGCGCTGGCATGTCGGGCGCAAGCCGACGCTGGACGCCCGTGGCGGCCTGTCGCCGAAGGGCCGGAGGAAGCGGAGGGACGACTGCACGGGGGACAGGGCCATCGCGATCAGCAGGCGGGAGTCCGACCTCCGCAGGCAGTGGATGCTGGAGGACCCCGACTACATGAGCTGGCGCATCAGCGAGCTGAAGGTCGGCCGCGCGCGGAGGGGGTGGCAGGGGGAGGGGGGAGGGCTTCCCAGAAGCACCCCTGCTTCTCAGAAGGCGCGGGCCTTGTCTGCAGATGTGTAAGGCCGGCGCCTGCTGAGAAGCATGTTCCTTCTAAGCAGCCTTCCGCCGTCCCCCCCCCTCTTGTGCGCGCAGGACTCAACTAGGGGATCGACTACAGAATCAGTTCACCCCGAAAGTGATTCCCCCGTCGGATCTGCGAAAGCTGCGCAGCATGCCCCCGCAAACCTCGTAGCACCCTCCCTAATTACGCGCAGCCCTCGCAGCCCCCGACGGCGACGTCGACACTTTTTTGGGGTGCAGCCCCCACTCCTGTGCCCGATCCCCCTGCTCGGCAGGACGCCAACGTCCGGGCGCGCGTCGCCTCCTCGTCGCCCGGGGAGGACGCCGCGCCGGGGGCCCTGGACCGCTCCGCCTGGGCGCCGCCCCAGCTGCTGCCGGGCGGCGCCGCGGCCCCCGGCCCCGCGCGGCGGCGGGCGCAGGGCAGCGCCCCGCCCTCCACGCCGGCCACGGCGCCGGGGCGGCCGGCGCTGGCGGCGCTCCAGGCCCTATGGGCTGCCTCGAAACGCCCGCGCGGTGGCACTCGAATTCACGCGTGCAGTCTTGGCTCCTCGGCCGCGTGTGCAGTTTTGTCTCGAGACGGCGGAGGCCATCGAGGAGCATCCGGGATCATCTGGCAGACACACACACACACACACGAGACCGAAAACATGCGCGACGGCAAGTCGATGGAGGCCTCCCAGATGGGGCCCACCCCGCCGCCCGTCTCTCTTTTTCGCAGTTTGGGGCCGCCTGTAGGGCCCTCGTCGCCACGGCCAGATGCGCCTCGAACTCCTGGTCGGGGCGCACCCCAGGGGAGGTCCAGGGAGCAGCGGTATCGGTACCTTTTGTACCGCGGCACGGACGAAGCGGAGACGGACCGAATGGGCACGAAGACCGACAGCAGTTCTTCTTCATTTTGAACCGGACTCGCTGTCGGCGTCGCAGCGGTCGTGGCC